CGTGCGCATGCATCGCAGCCGCTCTCGTTCGCCAAGCCAGGTGAGGTTCGGGCCTGAGGAGATCATCGACCCCGACACGCCGCCGCCAGCCGCCCCTCGCCATGAGACGGCGACGCCGAGTGCTGACAACGGCGCCCTCGCCAATCACCTACGCCAGGCACTTGCGGCTGCCACCGACCCCGCCTTGCAGGCCATCCTCGCTGCCCAGATGCAGCGCCTCGGTGCCCAGGAGACCGAGCCCAAGGTCAGCGAGGTTGAGGCCATGAGGAAGGCAGACGGAACGTGGCGTAGTGCAGTCAACCACCACAATCAGGTCGTGGCCAACGCTGTGCGGCTCCGCAAGGCCTTGTCCACGGCAGAAGCCAAGGAGGCCGAGGCCGCCCTCGAGGTCGCCAAGACGGAGGCCGCCAAACGCAAGGCTGCTCAGGCGCTGGCACATGCCGAAGGAGCCGGACACCCAGACGACGCCAAGCACTCCGCCAGCAAGCCCGACCACCCACCCGAGGCGCCTTTCACAGTCTCGTGGGACCCCACGCTCTTCCAGCAGATCGAGGAGCTCGATTTCACCGACACCGAGCAGCAGGAGCTCAACGCCGTCAAGAAGGGGCTCGAGGAGCTCAAGCAGCAGTTCGCCACAAAAGGCCCCCAGGTACAGGAGCTCATCAGCCGTGCCACAGCCGTGCGCCAGGCACGCGAGGCACGCTACCAGAAGAAGCGCAAGGGCGATGACGGCCAAGCCAGCACCACGCCTGGTGCTGCCCCGCCCGCTGGCGGCCACACTGGCGGTGGACAGCCCCCCAGCGCAGGCGAGGCCGCCGACGCTGGAGGCGAGCCGCCACCCGCAGCCGCCCAGGCGCAGGCGCAGCAGCAGGAGGATGACGCTGCGCTGGCTGCCGAGGCCGCTCGCCTGTCCGCCGCCAAGTTCGCCGCCCACGCCGCCATGAACAAGGACGCTGCCCCCGAGACGGCCGCCCAGAGGGCAGGCAAAGGGAACGGCCGCTCCACCGCCACCAAGCGAGCCACCTCGCATTGACTAGGCGGAGGTGACCCCAGCATCACGGGGGAAGGTGATGCCAACTCTCCTACCAGTACTAGTAGTTTCTTCTTCAGCAATGTCACTTGCTTCGGTGAGAAAGTCCATGAGTGGATCCAGGCCAGCAGTGACGACTACATCGGTTTGTCGAGACCCACGCCAATGCAGCCAGTGTATCACAGTGGCAGGGGAGGCTCAGGTCCATCAATCGCAGGCTCTTCGCCAACCTCGCTCGACCCACATCACGTGCTGATTCTGAAGGGTGGACTGCTGATTCCCATCTAGAGGCTGAATCCATGTCCGCAGTTTCACACGCGAATGAGGGTGGAGAATGGTTTCTCCCCAGAAGGCATCTCCATGCCCACCCTCTCCTCGAGGCGGTCCAGTCCAAGGGCCTACAGGTTTCCCCTCGCCCCTCCCTCGACGGTTTTTTGCCCATTGTCCTCCATCTCCGTGGTTATTCTATTGTTGCAGTTCTTTTCTATGGATTCTGCAGTGTCGGCATGCGAGGACCCAATTTAACTCGTTTCAGGAAGCTCGGGAGCCTTCTTCGCTCCCTCCAGCCCCCTTGGTTCGTCATTGCCGATTGGAACCCTAGCCCTGCTGCACTCACTCAGTCAGGTTTCCGAGCGCAGATCCAAGGAGAGATCATGTGCGCATCTGTCGAACACACATGCGACCCAGGTGGAGGACGTACGCCATCGCATTTGGACTTTCTCGTTCACAGTGCTGCTGCCCGCCCATACCTGGTCAGCCTCTCGCCAGTGTTAGATGTCCCGTGGAAGCCCCACATTGGATTGCGTCTCCAGCTCATCCAGTCTGGCGAGCAATTGCTCACGCGAATTCTTCAGCTCCCGAGGTGCTTGCCACACGTCGCTCGCCCTCGCAAGGCTACTACTACTGGGTCTAAGGCAAGCCTTGCCAGAGCCCAGCGAGCAGCCCGCATGGAGAAGGCAACCGAGAGAAAACAGTCTCTTCATGCCACTCTCTTTGCAGATTTACGGACCAGCGAAGGCCAATATGCCGACGCCGAGTCCACCAGTGCTGGCGACAGCCCCACATCAGAGGGCGACGAGGTCGATTCAGCCCAGCTTTCCGAGGAGGAAGACCCGTGGGCGCACGAGACGAGTTTTTGGCCAGCCGTGCCGCTTGCTGTCTCGAACCCCGCTCGCGAGGAGACAAAACAGTGCTCGCTCGGCTCGTTTGCTTCACCCACCTCCGATGCCTCATCCGTTCACTTTTGTGATTCGCGGATCTCGGCACACGGAGAATGCACAGCCGATGCCTCTCTGCCTCAGATGTCTAGTGGTGTCGCCCCGAGAGACACGCCCGCCGCCCAGGACAGGCTGCCCGCTGCTCTCTCCGCCCGCGATTCTGTCCCCGTTGCCCCTTCTTTTCATCCTGCACAACAGTCAGAGACCTTTTCACCAGCTCAGCGTGTGAACCCCCCTGACGCGCCTGTCGTGCCCGAGGGGACCATGCCAGACAGTTTTCCCAAATCCACGAATTTTCCCCAACCTGGCCCCAATGAACCGTGCCCAGGATCTGGGGGGTTTAGTTCTACCGCTGTGGATTTCGAAATCCCTAGTTTGCTCTGGAGCGCCTCTCGGGAACAAATCAGTGCCCTGCCAGCCAGCTGCACGATGCCTGCCCCTGCAGCCACTGCTTCCGTAGCTTTTCGGCTCAAGCCTGATTTGACCCTTCAGCTTGGGCAGACCTACGGCTCTTGGGCCACGACTGTCGAGGCCACTTTCCACACACACACACACCACCAGATACCTTTCACTGGCGCCAGCCGCGCCACAGGACCCAGCTACCAGATCACGGTTGTCCGCGAGCTACAGTGCAAGAGGAGAGCGCCTCTCGCCGATTTCTCCAGCAACTGGTGGACACGCGTACACACTCTACTCCAGAACGCGTACAGACATCGAGCCCGCAGGAACGGACACCTGCAACTCCAGCAGCTGTATCGAGACCTACGGCGCCTCGCTGACTCACCACCCCCAGCTGCAGCCAGCATCGTCACACCCAAAGACGACCGCACTTGGGACCAGTGGATCCTTCTCCTGCAGCAGATCGAGCTCGCCGACGACGGCTACATCGCGGCACACGCAACCAGAGCCAACCGACTTGCCAAGCGAGCCCAACAACGGGCAATACGCAAGTCCGTTCGTGCATTCAGCGAGTGGGCAACCACGCCCGAGGCCTTGGGAACACTCCATCGCTCCCTACGGCCCCAACCACAGCCAGCAGAGGTCACATTGTCCGACGGAGGCACTATCATGCACCCCAAGGAGCTCATAGACCAGGAGATACAGACCTGGACCGACCTGTGGTCCCCCCACGACGTCGACTACCACAGCCTGGAGGCCGCCTTCCAACGCATCGTCGACCGCATCCAGGAGTGCCCACCCCCCGCGCTCACCGCGGACGACCTCCGACGGGCCGCTTCCCGCCTCAAGGCCAACGCCGCGCTTGGTGCCGACCGCCTACGACCTGGAGATTTCCAGCGGCTCCCTCAAGAGGCACTCCAGGAATTGGCCGACCTACTTACAACAGCGGAACGACTCCAAGCCTGGCCACACCAACTCCTACACACCATCGGTGTCATGCGGGCCAAGAAGGACAACGGTGACCGCATCCTCGGCCTCATGACGATGGTTGCACGACTGTGGTCCATGGCACGTGAAGAACATGTACAACAGTGGAATCGAGATTATTTCGCACACTGGGATGCCATAGCCAAAGGCAACTCGGCTTTCCGTGAGGCGTACGAAAGGTGCCTGCACGAGGAGCTTTCGACCTACCTCAGCATCCCGCAGGCGCACGGGCTACTGGACATCGCCCAGTTCTACGATTCCATCCACTGGGTCACCCTCATCAGCGACGCGCTCGACCTCAATTTCCCACCTGAAGTTCTCGGACTGGAGATCTTGCAGTGCACCGCCCCCCGCTCGCTCATGCAGAGCGGTGCGTATGCGGAAGCACTCCGCCCCACACGCTCTGTCGTACAGGGACTACGTTCAGGTACACGTTTCGCCAAGATCATGACCTACAAGGCACTACAGCGCATCGCCCATCACTACCCCGACCTCCAGCACCGCATTTGGGTCGACGACCTGTCGCAGCGCCTGCGAGCTAGCCGACGAGCTTTACGCCGCCGCATGGTAGCTTGCCTCGCCGACACCTGCACGGCGCTCCAGGACCAGGGCCTAAACGTTGCTAAGATGAGCGTCATCGTCTGCACACACCACGACGACGCCAGATACATTGCCAATGCCATGAGAAGGAAGGGTTTCCCCATCCGCGCCAACACCCAGGCCAGCTATCTCGGCATCGACCTCGGCTGCGGTATACGACATGCGCGACGCACCACCACCCAGCGACGTCGCAAGCACGACGCCATGCACCAGAAGATACTTCGCTTCACACGTGCCACACGTCGGTATCGCATTTCATCCAAGCTCGCAGTACAAGGAGGGATGCCAGCAGTCACCTACGGACACCAAGTCTACGGCGCATTCGGCACGACTATGACCACTTACCGCCGACGCGCCGGTGGCGCAGTGGGACCTCGACTACGAGGACGATGCCTCACTACCCTACTTGACCTACGCGCTCACGACCCAGCCCGCAAACTACCACACGACGCATTCAAGGCATGGCTCACTACCTGGATACAAGGAGGACCCCGCCACCGTGTTATTCAAGCCACCTGGAAGACCGTCGTCACCAATTTCAAGACCATGCCGCCACATGTACGGGTACGGCACATACGTGGGCCACAATCGACCATCATCCACTACCTCATGCAGCACGACTGGGAGCCACTGGAGCCCAACAAATGGCGCCTCCCACCAGCACTCTCCGACTGCGGAGACACATGGGAGTTCGACGCCAAGCGGCTCACAGGACACCCCGACGCCGACATCCCACATCAATTACTTCATGACCTCGACGCCAGCATCCAGCACCAACAATGACAGCGGGCCAGTACCCACCACGGCGGAGAGGGCATGCAGCAAGGAATCGACAAATACTCCTACCGCAGGCTTCTTCGGTACCTCGAGAGTCTCGCAGACGGCGCACGCCTCGCGAGCCTCATGCTCACCATCGCAGTGGGTGCCATGTGGACACGCACCAGAGTCGCCGCCGAAACATCTACCACCACTCCCACTACATGCCCACGCTGTGGAACCAGTGACGAGGATGACTACCACCGACGCTGGGAGTGCGAGGGCAACAGCGCCAACAACATCATACTCGCCTCCAACACACTCTGCGCAGAGGCCGCTTCTCAACGAGCCATGTTCGAGTGTTTCTGGACACGAGGCCTACTACCTGCGCAGTGGACAGCTCTCCCGCCACCACCACAGCACGACCAATGGGAACACTTCAACTGCAACGAGCACAACGACGGATGCATGGACCACGCAGGAGGACGCCCGACATACGCCTTCGGCGACGCCAGTGGCGGCCCCGACACTGCTGCCACTCCCCTGAGGAGGATCGGCATAGGTGTCGTTTTTTTTTTTTCGCCGACCTCAATAAGCACGACATGTCGCTACGGGGCGCAACTTGGGGGCCCCTCGCGGGCAGCCGACAGACCGTCATACGTGGTGAACTCATGGCCCTAGTAGTGGCAGCTGAGAGCATCACCAACGACCTCGTCTACTTCACCGACAGTGAGGGTTGCTACAACAACTACCACAATGGACACACGGACAATCCAGTCGGACCAGACGCCGACCTATGGGCACGACTCGGACGTAATATCTCCTCTCGCCGCGGCTCCCTCACCATCCTGTGGATCCCCTCGCACATGAGTGCCCAGGATGTCTTCCAGGGCAAGATCCCCGCCACCCTCGCCTACGGCAACACAGTGGCGGACGAGATCGCAGGAGGCGCAGCACAGGCAGCCAGAATCCCTACCTCCGACAGACAGCAATACGCATTGATTGAGCAAAAGGCTTTTCTTGTACGCATGAGATTGCTCCGCACATCCCTCGAAGCGCTTGAGCACGCCAGGAATATCGAGCAATCCTCTGGGGAATTCCGCCCAAAGAGGCAGAAAGGTGTGGCCCCACAGAGGCCCCCCGCCCCCCGCGTTTCTGCCCTGTTCCAGTCCCAGCACTCTGTAGCCCTCTGTGGATCCAAGTGCACCCGTTGTAGGACCACTACCACGCTGGCCTCAAGGGCCCAGTGGCTTGCTAGCGAATGCTTCGACCTATGTAATGTCGATGGCACCTATATGATGGCTCCTCTTGGGAAACAGGTACACGTCGCAGGGGGATATGTTGACCCGACACACACTTTAAGGTTCCACGCTGGGCTGAATCTTTGGTTCTGTTCCGTCTGCGGGTCCTACGCAAACCAGCTTCTCGGGAAACTCGGGGGTCGGTGCGAGACCCCAACTCCGACAGGCGTTGCTTACCTGCGGAGAATCGCCAAGGGACTCTGGCCTAAGGCTCTCAGTCGAGCTGAGCGCGAAGCCAGAGACCAACGCACCCCACGGAGGGTAGCGGATCTTTAATTTCATCCAATCGCTACGCGATCATGCAGAATCTCCAGAATCTCCCCCTCCTCCTCCCTCCTCCCCCTGGTCCCCCTCCTCCCCCTGGTCCTCCCTCCTTCCCCTCCTTCCCCTCCTCCCCTGTCCCCCTCCTCCTCCTCCTCCTCCTCCTCCTCCTCCTCCTCCTCCTCCTCCTCCTCCTCCTCCCCCTCCTCCTCCTCCTGCTCCTCCTCCTCCTCAGCATGCAACAACTCTCGCTGGTCGCTCTGGTGCTGCTCCCGGTCTCTGGGGTTAGGTCGTGCATGTTCTCCTACAGGCGGATCTTGGACAACAAATAAAACATACACCACAAAATGTTCAAACATATTACTACAAGGATTGTCCCGAAATCGTCCCTCGAAAATCGGTTCACCATCTTTTGATATTCCTTCTGTAGAGGGACAGGCCACACTTAACCCTAGGGGAACGAAGAATGACATAAACATAAAAAAACCTGAGGTCCGCGCGGATTTCTCGGATCCTAGGGGAACGAGGATCGGGCGTTGGCAGAACTGGGTTTAGTGGGACCTGGTTTGGTGATGTGTACTGGGGAACGCCCCCCCCCCCTACCCCTTTCCACTAACCGGAACTGCCGCCACCCGAAAAAACACCAGCTACGGCAGACATGGTCTAGTGATTCTGGCCAATTTGGGAGCTCATGGGCCCTACTTGTAACCGAGTCCCCTCACCTGGGGTCCTGGCTATACCCAAAAGGAATGACATAAACATACAAATCCAGAGGTCCGCGCGGATTTCTCGGATCCGCGCTGGACCCCCCTGCGGCGTCTCCGGCGCCGCCCCCTGGCGCGCTCCGCGCGCCAGGAAAGGGAGTCCAGCGCCGATGGGAGAAATCCGCGCGGACCTCCGAGGTTTGATGTTTCTCTCATTCTTCTTTCCCCCAGTCTCGGGCCCCGCGCCATCCCCATCCCATCCACTCCTCCCTTCGCGCAGTTCTTGGGACTCGAGCGCCTGCCGGGAGCGCCCTCATCCTGCGGGCGGGCCCGCGGCGGACGCGACCGTCCTCGGCGGCGACAGCACGGTCACTCTCTGGTCGCAGCTTAGCTGCCCCAATGCGTAGCGTGTTGGCATCGTGCTGGACACGCACATTGAAACGCAGGCCTGGCGCGGCACGTTCGCCAAAACGTGGGCCAACGCGTGCAGAGCCAACACGTGGCGTGTTCAACCCAGACGCCTCAGACACGGTACGTGTTGCGGCCCAGCACGGGAGTATCAGGGCTGCTAGGAAGCCGCAATAGTCGCACATCACCTTTGTGGCCTCTGGGTGGTGTCTTCCTTCCTTCCATGCCTCCGTCGCCCCTCCCATTCGGTTCCCACCTTCCGCGCCTCCCCCTCCCCCCCGGTTCCTGCACATCGTCGTCACATTCGCCGCCGTTGCCGTCATGGTCGCCGGTCTCGTCGTCGTCTTCGTCCGTCGCCAGTCGCCGTCGCCGCCACCGCCGCCGTCGTCGTCGTCGTCGTCGTTGTCGTCGACGCCGTCGTCGTCCGTCGTCGTCTGTCGTCGTCGTCGTCGTCGTCGCCGCCGCCGTCGCCGCCGCCGTCGTCGTCGTCGTCGTCGTCGTCGTCGTCGTCGTCGTCGTCGTCGTCGTCGTCGCGGCCGCCGCCGCTGCCGCCGTCGTCGGCAGCAGCGCGACGTGGGGCGGCGCGGCGGCAGCGCGCGGCCTCGGAACGCAGGGCGTCGCAGAAGGCCACAGCAAGCGCGGCGTCTCCCTGCGGGACGGGCGGCCCGCTGATGGGCCGCCACGCGCACCCCAGCCCTCGTCCCCGCCGTCGTCGTCGTCGTCCTCGATGTCGTCCTCGTCGCCCTCTCCTTCTCTTCCTCCTCCTCATCCTCCTCCTCCTCGTCATCGTCGTCGTCCCCGTCGTCGACGTCGCCGTCGTGGTCCTCGTGGTCGCCTTCGTCCTCGTCCTCGTTGTAGTCCTCGTCCTCGTTGACGTCCGCGGCGTCGTCGTCGTTTCCGCCGTCGACCTGCGCAGCACTCTGGATGGGATGTCCACGGGTCACGACGGCGGTCATCGTCCTCGTCCTTGTCCTTGCCCAGCCTCGAGCCTCCGGCCGCATTCCATCGAGCTAAGTCTTGGACCCCGGCCCTTGTGGATCGAGCCTCTTGGTTCGTGGGCGGTTTTGTTCGGTTGGGATTTCTGACAGTTCGAAGTCGTCCAGGGACCTCCGAAGACCCCTGGGGGGCCTCAAGGCACCTTCGGGGATGAGACCCACGGGGGAAGCAAGCCTTACCAACACTCCTCGTCCTCATCGTCCTCCGCCGCCCCCTCCCCCGTCAAGATGAGGCAATAAAGCCGGACATCACGACAATGCAATGTCGTTGAATGCCAGGCCAATGTTTTATCCCTGCCATAATCCGTTGGGGCCAAATGACTGTCTATGATACCGGAGAGAACCCCAAACAGATTTTTGTTGGGGCGATGGGGCTGTATGGGCTATATGGCTATAGGGGTATAGTGCTATAGGGATATTGAGCTAAAGGGGCTATAGGACTATAGGGCTATAAGGCTATAGGGCTATATGGCTATAGAGCTATAGGGCTACAGGGCCATAGGGCTCTAGAGCTCTAGGGCTCTAGGGCTTTAGGGCTATAGGGCCATAGAGCTATAGGGCTATAGGGCTATTGATCTATAAGGCTATATGTGCTATATGCGCTAGTGGGCGATTGGGCGATAGAGCTACAAGGCTATAGGGCTATATGGCTATAGCGTACCAGGGGACCCCCAGGCACCTCCGGGCACTCCCGCGCACCCGGGCACCCGGGCACCCAGAGATCATTTTTTTATTCCGGCCGGTAACGCTCGTTACCCGGGAGGGGGGGGGGGGGTCGTGCCCCCCGGGTAACGGTAACGCTTGGGCTGGGCGGGGTATGGCGAAGCAGGGGCGCTCTGCGATCGCCATAGCATGCGCGCGAGCAGCACTCTCTGCCTGAGAGCACCACAGTGGCTTGCGATTCGAGTACAAGCGCAAAGCCCGCCGCGTGGTCCCGGCACCACGCCCGCGCCCGCGCGCGCGACGACGATGATCGACGAGCGACGAGCGACGAGGTCGACGACGACGACGACGACGTTTGCCGCCTGTTTCGGCCTCCGGAGGCCGTTTTCGGGCGCCGTCGACGACGACGACGACGACGACGACGACGACGACGACGACGACGACGACGACGACGATTCGAGTACAAGCGCAAAGCCCGCAAGCACCAGCATCGCGCATGCGAGCGCCGCAATGGCCTGCGAGCGCCCACAGTGCGCCTGCGACCACCACACCACAGTGCGCATGCCTTCGGGCACCAGCATGTTGGAGGGGAAGACCGAGACCCCCCCCGCGTACGAGCGTTACCGTTACGGGGGGGGGGGGGGGGAGAGGCCCGGGTAACGAGCGTTACCCCCCAGACGATAAAAAAACAATCTCCCAGGGGCACCCGGGCACCCGGCCACTGGCCACCGAAATCGGGCACCCGGGCGCCCCCGGGCACCCCTGGGCACCCGGCCGCCGGCCACCGAAATCGGCGCCGCACCTCGCCTAACCAGATGAATCCGCTAGGACCCCTACAGAGGCAAGCTCTGATTGGGGAATGAATTCTGCATAGAAGGATGCGGAAACGCTGCCCATCCGCCCCCGCCCCTTCTCCTCCTTCCTGCGCTTAGATGGGTGCGGATATTATAAAACACTAAATACATTTATCGTGCACTATAGGATCCTATCAACATGTACTAAAAAAGAAAAATAGTAAACTATAGTGAAAAATAATGAAAACAATAGTGTTAAATAGTGAAAATAATAAAAATAGTGAAAAATAGTAAAACAAATAGTGAAAATGAAAAAATAAGCAAATTCTAAGAAAAATCACAAACCAGCTTGCTTCTCCTCCTTTCTCTCCTGACTTTCCGCAGCGGCAGACCGCTTTTACATTGCAAGTTGCACAGTGCAGCGGTTTGGCCGCTTCAGAACTTTCGTTTTTAATCACGTCCATGTTGGCTGCGGGGCCGAGGGCGCCGCACGTGGCGCAGCGAGGACCCCAGGCAGCCATTTAACGAATTCTCGAATTCGGTTGGGCGAATTCAAAAAACTTGAAGCCAAAAACGGCTGCGACGAAATCGTTATCCTGTCCCCTCCTCCTCCTCCTCCTCCTCCTCCTCCTCCTCCTCCTCCTCCTCCTCCTCCTCCTCCTCCTCCTCCCATGCAAAGCGGTTGGGCCGCTGAGGAGCAGAATGGGGAGGCAGGAGGGAGCGAACGCAAAGCGGTTGGCCCGCTGAGGAGGGAAGGATGAGGGGAATATATATATATAAATTATTATATATATATTATATATATATATATATATATATAATATTGATATATTATATATATCATATATATAATAATGATATATATATATATTAAACTATATATATACAATATTTATATATATACAAAAAAAAAAAAAACACAAAAAAAAAAAAAAAAAAAAAACAAGGGGGGGGGGGGGGGGGAGGGGGGGAAAACACGGGGGGGGGGAGGGGCGGGAAACAAAACTGAAACAAACCAAAAAACAAAACGAAAGAAATAGCAGACAGCACCAGACAACAAACAACAACACAAACACAACAAACAACAACAACAACACAACACCATAAAACAGCACAACATTAACAAAAAGCAGCATGTCGTTTTTTGTTGTGTTGGTGTTGTATTTGTGTTGTCTGGTGTTGTCTGGCGCCCGCCCTACAAGACAACACAAAAACAACAAAAAAACATCATAAAAGCAATGACAAACAACACAAAACAACAACAACAAAACAACATGAAAACAACACCCAGACAACATCCAGCCTGCTGCCAATGGGAAGGGGAGGAGGGGGATTGGGGAGGAGGATGGGGGGGGGGGGGCGGAGGGGGAGGAGGAGGAGGGGGAGGAGGAGGAGCGGCAAGAGGATAGAGGAGGAGGGGGGGGGGAGGAAGAGGAAGAGGGGGAGAGGGAGGACGAGGGGGAGGAGGAGGGGGAGAAGGAGGAGGGGGAGGAGGAGGAGGGGAAAGATGATAGAGGAGGAGAGGTAGGAGGAGGAGAAGGAGGAGGGGGAGGAGGAGGAGGGGGAGGAGGAGGGGAAAGAGGATAGAGGAGGAGGGGTAGGAGGAGGAGAAGGGGGAGGAAGAGGAGGAGGAGGAAGAGGAATGGGAGGAGCTTCGGAGCTTCGGATTTGGGGGTGCCGAGGCCCAGGAGGGCCAGCACCACGGGGGTGCCGAGGCCCCAAGAGGGGCGCCGAGGAGGAAGGGGAGGAGGGGGCAGAGGAGGAGGAGGAGGAGGAGGAGGAGGAGGAGGAGGAGGAGGAGGGACGAGGAAGAGGAGGAGGAGGAGGAGGAGGAGGAGGAGGAGGAGGAGGAGGAGGAGGTGAACACCTCCTCCTCCCTCCTCCTTCTCCTTCTTCTCCCTTGGAGCGCAACGTTCTGGCGTCGGTCAGACAAGGAAAAAGTAGAGAAACATAGTGAAGATAGTGAAAAAATGTGGAAATAATGATAAATAGTGAAAATAGTGAAAATAATAAAAAATAGTGGAAGATAATAAAAATAGTAGAAAAATAGTAAAACCATACATCTGTTTAGGGATTCCAAGTTCAGCTGATGATAGGACACTGTAAGCTCCTATAGATCCTATAGTGAAACGCAGGGGGGACTATCGGGGACTACACTATCGGCATTCCTATGGAACCTATTGGGCCTCCTAACCAATCCTAACTCATCCAAACCTCTCCTAAAATAGAACCACTTACCTATACTATAACCACATAAAACTTCACACCCATCTAAGCACCGCCGCCTCGTCGATCCTCGTCCCCGCCCTCGTCGCCGACGTCCTCGCCGGCGTCGTCCTCGCCGCCGTGGTTGCCGCCGTCGTTGTTCTCGTCGCCCTCCTCCTCTAAACGAGCAAAAAACGGCATGAGCATAATGTTTCGGAGGTCCGCGCGGACACCCGAGAATTAATATGTATGTATTTTGTTTTGCTTCGAAGGATCACTTAATGGGTTCAATACTTGAGAGGAAGATGCAGAATCTGTCCTGGAGGAGTCCCAGTGGCTGCGCCGTCGCTGCCAACACCCTGTGGTCCTTTTTTGTTTACGATCGAATACAATATTTCTTGGGCGGCTATGCTTGCAGAAGTCGAGCAACAGTATACAACCAATAGTGGCCCAGGAACTTGCACGCAGAAGGTGTCAACATGCATGTTCGTAAACGAAAACCATCCCCCCAACAGCGCGCGCATAAACGGCGCAACAGGAGCTCCGAACCAGGGTCCTGTCAGGAGGCTTGGCCGGACCCTCGCACAAGAGTTCAATAGCCTGTGAAGACAAGTCCGAGAGCCTCTCAGGAGCCTCTCAGGACCCCGACAGGAGACCCCCTCAGGACCTTTTTCCAATATCCTCTCAACAGCCTCTCACCAGCACGTCCCCCCAATAGCCTCTCCAGAGTCTCTCAGAAGCTGCTTAACAGGCCGAACGCCCACTCAGGGTTCGCTTTCAGGGCACTCTCAGCTTCTCAAGAGCTCCTCGGGACCCCGTTATGACCGTCCCGAAAACTTCTCAAGAGCCTATCAGGAGTCTCCCAGGATCCTCAAGAACATCTTAGCATCCCTGTAGTAGGGTACTTTGTTGGCGAAATGTTGCGTCAACCCCGTCTCGTTGGTGAAAGGTTACTTTCTGCTTACAGGGCTCCAGCTACAGTGGCAGACGTCGATGGAGAGAGCCACGGCCTCAGCAGAGACAGGAGCAGCGACGCCTGAAGTCTGCCGTGAAAGGAAGGCTGCATGAAGTGAGCTGCGCGCTTTCCCGTCCACCAACGGACACGAACTGAGAGAAGCGATCGCCTTCTCCCAAGCCCGTGGTGGGTGCACGCCGAGACGAATAAACCCACATTCAATGCGTACCACCCGCGCGTGCTAGACAGCCACACTCCGCCGACTCCTCCGTAGCATAACCCGGGCTCATCTTCTGTCGATTTCTGCAATCCTGGATCTGAAGTCTCCTGGGCGTTCGAAACCTCCGAGGCCCCCAAGATCGACCCAAGATGGCTTCAAGAGAACCCAAAAAGACCTCCTTCTCCTCCTCCTCCTCCTCCTCCTCCTCCTCCTCCAAAGCCCCGACGTCATGACGACGTCAGCCCTGAAGGGTTTCGACCCATTCCCGGGACGGGCGTTTCCTCCCGAGCAGTTTTTGTGACGGAAGGGCCCCCCAGGGGCTGAAAATTGCCAAACACCTTCCGCCGCATTTTTTCACGATGCGCACATGTCTTGGCTCTCCTTTTCCTCCTCCCCCTCTTCCTGTTCCTCCATAGACTAGGATCGGCGGGGCCGGAGACACGGTGGCATCCGATCACACACACCCCACCAACCATCGAGCCTCCTCACACGAGGGGAGGCAGGGGCAGTCAGGCTCCAGATGTCGCCACTCGAAACAATCAGAACCCTACCCCCGCCGCCCCTCGGGTAGCCCGAATCGTTGATCGGCGAGGGGAGGGTCCAGACTTCGCCAAGGAGCGGCGACGACGACGACGACGACGACGACGACGACGACGACGACGACGACGACGACGACGGCGACCGCAGCGACGAGGACGACGACGACGATGACGACGCAAAGCGGCGCCGCGCTCACAGAGAGGCGACCCGCGCTCCTCGCGGCCCCCGCCGCACACGCAGCACGCTTGGTCGGCCGCCGCGCCTGCGGGCCGCCGCGCGCACCGGCCACGACGGCGACCCCCGACGCCGACGCACCACGACGCGCGGCGACGACGACGACGACGACGCCGACGACGACGACGACGACGACCACGACGACGACGCGCGACGACAACGACGACGACGCGCGACAACGCACGGCGACGCTGGCGCGCAACGACGACGCGACGACGACGACGACGACGACGCGCGACAACGACGATACCGACGACGCCGCCGACGCCGACGTCGACGGCGACTGCGACGCCGGCGAGCAACCGATTCTCCAGCTTCAGGATGCTCCCCAACAGCTGCGCCTCGCCGAAATCGTTCGGGCGCTCGCATCGTCCCGAACGGCCGCCAGAGAGCCGACTCGTGACCCGAATACCGGACAACCCAGCCCCCAACCCGGCCCCCCTCGCGTCGTGAACCAAAAATGCCACGTGAGGCGCTTTGGCGGTCATCGGCCTCCGGGGCCCTCGCTGGGCCCCCGGGACCGCCAAACACAGCCACTCGGGGTGAAGACGCCGCTCCCGGGAAATGGGTCGATAGGCCTCTGTGGGTCCACGCTCCCAGACCCCCGACGTCCTGGCTTTTCCATGACGTCGACCCCATGAGGTCTCCCTCCCTCCCTCTCTCCCTCCCTCCCCCCCCCTCCCTTCCGCCTACCTCCCTCCGTGGACCCCTTCCTCGGGACTGGCCTCTCATCCTGAAATGTTTTCTGACGGTCCCGAGGCCCGGCGAGAGCCTCCAGAGGCCGCAGATAGCGAGAAACCTCCCGTCACGATTCTTTCATGGCTCGAGGGGGTCTGGATTGTGAGCAGTGCAAGACGTCGGGGGTCAGGAGGCGCTGGCGACGAGAGGCGGCAGTGGACGCCGACGAACAGCGACGGCGAGGACGGGCATGGAAGGACAGGTGGCGAGGGCGGACGACTGGCGGCGACGGCGGTGGCGGCAGTGCCGGCGACGGCGGCGGCAACGGTGAGGACGACGGCAGGAACGGTGAGGAAGGCCTTCAACTGCATAGTGGTCGAACGAGCCCCATGCCGTCTCCCAGCCTGCGCCGTAGCCCCTGGCGAGGGTGCACCACTCGTTGGAGTCATAGTCCGCGCCTCGGGGTGCCCTCCTGCTCCTCCTCTCGCGTTCCCCTTGGTTCGAGCCCGCACCTGCGTGCCCTGTGGCCCTTCTCGCTCACGTCCTCCAGGTGGGAGTCCATGAGTTGGACACGCAGGAGAGGGAGGGGACGCGAAACCGAAGGATGATGATGATGATGATGATGATGATGATGATGATGATGATGATGATGATGATGATGATGATGATGATGATGATGATGACGAGGAGGAGGAGGAGGAGGAGGAGGAGGGAGGAGGAAAAGGAGCAGCAGAGCAGCACCAATGGTCCGATGTAGCGCCTCAGACTGAGGACGGCAGCCAGGGCACTCGAAGAAGGGAAGATGGCGGACCAGGTGTGGAGGCGATAGGGGGACGAGGAGGAGGACCTCCACACTGACATCACCCGTCCGCCATCCGCCCTCTGGTGCCCTCGTGTGCCTTCGCGCGGAAATTGCTCTGAGTGTTCTCCCCGGTAGGAGTCCTTCCGGCTGTTCCATTTTTCTTGCATCCTGAGTCGTTTTTTGACGGTCCCAGGGCCTGGCGAGGGCCTCTGGAGGCTCCAAAGCATGAAGAACCTCCGTCCTGAATTTTTAACGACGTGATCATGTCTGGGCCCGCATGGGCGCGGGCCTCCCCGCGGCTCCGCCGCAGCCGCCGCGCTCCCCGCATAGACGGAGGCATGCTGGGCGGGGGGCCCGGCATGTGGGGCCGCGTGGTCCGGGCCCTCCCGCCTCCGCTGCCGAGCGTCACCGCGCCGTGTCCGGAAGGTGGGCGTGGGCGTGGCCCGGGCAACTACTGAGCAGGGACCGACCGTCCCGGCATTCCTATAGTCCTACCACGAGGGTAGGAAGAGCAGGGGCCGACCGTTCCCGACAAAAGATTCCTCTTGTAGAGGGACCTACGCGACTTACTGACAGCTGCGGTTCCCTCGTGACTGCTGCACGTCTCCGGTCCGCACACGAGCCTGAGAAGCCCACAGGGCACCCTGGCAGATCGCGCAGGCCGCCTTCTGGCATGGCAGGAGAAGTCCAGAATCGAATCGATACGTCGGATCGGCGATCGACATGCATCCCCAGACCTCCTCGCGTCCTGAAAAAAAACACGACTGGAGGTGTTTCACGATTTTCGGCCTCCGGGGCCTTTGCTGGACCCCGGGACCGTCAAAAAAAACGACTCAGGATGAAAAACCGGATGCACCTCTCCCACCGATGCAGGCCGCGAGCCGCTCGGGGGACGAGGGCGCCAGCCACGCGGCATCCCGAGTGCTGCTGCAGAGCCCCTCGGCCTTAGCGTAAACTCGTGGATCTCACCACGATGCCATCAATTTTTCCGGCCACAGCTTTCAACAGCAGGCGTCCAGCTGCTTGCCACGAGGCGAGAAGGCGCCCCGCGATACCTCAGACAGCTCTCGTGCCGCCGGCGACGCGATGCGGCGATGAAAAACCGGTCCCGGGGACGGGGTCCAGACCTCTGGGGGTCGACGTTGCGAAAAAATCACGATGTCGAAGGTCGGATCAGCGGAGATCGGCAGCCAAGCCGGGAGGAGGCGAATCTGCGGAGATCGGCAGGCTAGCAATTAGAAGGCCTCCGCTGAGGCATCGGGATCCGACGTCGCATCGGCTCGGAATCGGGAACAATCGCGAACCGGAGGGGTCGACGCGAGTCCTGGCACGGGCTCCCGCCGTAGGGTGTGCTTCGTGAGTGCGTTGCGCCCCCCGCTCCTCCCCCCTCCCGCCGACGGTGCATGCAGGCGGGCCCGAGGTCTCCATGCTCCCCCCGTCCCCCCCCCCGTGCCGTCGCTCGGACGGCCATTCCCCGTGCCTTCTTCGGGCCCCGTGGGTGTACTCAGTGGAGGCCCGCCCACAGGAAACCGTCCACAAGAAGCCCAACCCTGAGACCCCAGGACGTCCACTGGCTTCGAGCGTGTGAGCGTCCTGCTCCCCACAGCAGAAGCATCGGAGCCCAAGAAACCTTGGGCACCCTGGAGGCAAGCAGGGTGTTTCTGGGCATGGGCTTCCAGTGCAGTTCTTCGCCGAGGAGATGCTCCTCGGATGCCCTCGGTGGCCCTCGCCGAGGACAAGAAGGCGCACGCCCGAGCGATGCCAGGGCCCCCCCTTCTGCCCTGGCCGCCTGCGCTCGGCGAGCCCCGCCGAGAGCGCGGCGCCGCTCCACCAGCCCAGCCTCCCCCCCCCCCCCCAGATCCCCCATCCCCCGTCCTCCCGCCCAGCGCCCCCCCTCATCCCTGCCCCCCTCGCCCTCCTCCACACTCGCTCGCCCCTCCATCCAGGTCCTCCTCGCTCGTCCTCCCCCCCCATCCCACTCCCCCCATCCCCCCATTGCCTCTCCTTCCCTCCTGTTCTGTGCCCCTCCAGCTCCTCCACCTCGCCATCCATCCCTGCCGCTCCTCCTCCTCCTCCTCCTCCTCCTCCTCCTTCTGCTCCTCCTCCTCCTCCACCTCCTCCTCCATCTCTCCCCTCCTCCTCTCCTCCTCCTCCTCCTCCTCCTCCTCCTCCTCCGTCCCCTCCTCCTCCTCCTCCTCCTCCTCCTCCTCCTCCTCCTCCTCCTCCTTCTGCTACTCCTCGCCCTCCCACTCCACATCACCACAATCACCAGGACTCCCGCATCATCCCCCTATGAATTTGCTGCTCCTGCTGCCCTACCTCGCCTCCACCTGACGCCTGACGCTGCTGGCACTTGAACCCGAATCGGACCCTTCACCTTCTGCTCCTCCTCCTCCTCCTCCTCCTCGCCCTCCTCCTCGCCCTCGTCCTCCTCCTCCTCCTCCTCCTCCTCCTCCTCCTCCTCCTCGTTTTCCTCCTCCTCGCCCTCGTCCTCCTCCTCCTCCTCCTCCTCCTCCTCGCCCTCGCCCTCGCCTTCCTCCTCGCTCGCTCTTTCCCTCGTCGGCGCCGTCGGTGTGGTCGCGGTTGCCATCCCTGCCCTCTCCTCCATCTCCACCACCTCCAGCTCCGCTTTGTGCGCGCCAACGGGACTCGCCCCAGCAGGGCCACCGCCATCACCCCTGCTCCTCCTGCAGCTGCACATGCAGCTCCCGGTCCGGCTCTTGCTCCCACTGCTGACTCTTGCTCCTCCACCTCCTGCCGCTGCTGGTGCTCGTGCTGCCGCTGCACCTCCGCATTCACATCCTGATCCACGGCAACATTCAATTGCTGCTGCTGCTGCTGCTGCTGGTGCTCCTCCTCCTCCTCCTCCTCCTCCTCCTCCTCCTCCTCCTCCTCCTCCTCCTCCTCCTCCATGTGTCCGCAGCCTGCTCATCCAGCCTCATCGTCCCTAAGCCCCGTGCACGTAGACCCCATGAGGCTCGCCCAACGCAACGGCGCGTCGACGCACTGGGCCGGAAAGTACCTGGCGGGGTGAACCACAGCCACCCTGCCACGATCATCCTAATTAACCTTCTCCTCCTCCTCCCCTCCCACTCCTCCAACTCCTCCGCCAACTCCTCCTCCTCCGCCCTCCTCCTCCTCCTCCTCCTCCTCCTCCTCCTCCTCCTCTTCCCCCTCCTCTTCTCCTCCTCCTCCTCCTCCACCTCCTCCTCCTCCTCCTCCTCCTCCTCCTCCTCCTCCTCCTACCCCATCTCCTCAAATTCCTTCTTCTCCTCCTCTTCCACTTCACCCCCCGCACTCCTTCCCAGCACGGGAGGAGCCCAACATATACCGCTGATAGCCTGGTCGGCCAGGGAGCCCAGCGTATAGACGCCCGAGCTTCCCCACCTGTGGGACGCTGGAGCGTTTGCACGCACAATTTCTCGGTGGGGCTCCTTTGGCCGGCTACGCAAGCTGGTGTATACATCGAGCCCCTCGGACAACATCCCTGTGACCTCCCAAAGAAAAGGGAATAACGCCATAAACATAAATTGTTGGCGCTTCGCACGGATTTCTTGGATCTGCTCTGGACCCCCCTCCTTGGCGCGCGGAGCGCGCCAGGGGCGGCGCCGGAGGCGCCGCCGGAGGGGACCGGCGCGGATCCAAGAAATCCGCGCGGAGCGCCAAAGTTTATGTCTGTGGTTTTTGTTCGTCGATCCTCCTAACCTCTGAGGTGAAGGCACCCAGGGACACACTAATAAATGGGCACAACTCCCAGGATCCCGAATCTGTTTCGATATTTTCTGGAGTTTCGTCTCCCCCTCCACCTCCCATCTCCTCCATACTTCCTGGGAATCGAGAATTCTCTGTGAATGTGAATGTGTGTGTGTGTGTCTGTTTGTTTTTCCCCCTCCTGAGCGAGGGGGGGCGCCGGAGATGACCCCAGGGGGGGGCCGGCGCCAGCCAAAAGAGTGCCCAGGCGACACGCTATCCCCTTGCAAGCGGATCGCGTGCCCCTCCGCGCCGCGGAGCGGGGGGCCGGGAGCAGCTCGGGAAGGTGACGCTCGGGATGTGGAGTTGGCGTGTCGCGCCGGAGCGGGGCAGACCAGAACCGGCGGAGCGCCTCGCTGACCAAAAGTTCCCGGCCGTACAGTGCGGGCACGGTCGCAAGGAACCATCGCAAGAAACCCAACCCTGAAAACCCGACGGCGAGGTACACATGAGGGGAGACCCCGAGCACCGTGAACGCAGCAGCTCCTTCAACGGCCGCGGGAAGTCACCACCGCAGCGCGAGGAGCGAAGAAACTCAGGGTACACTTGCGAAAAACACATGGTTGCTTGATGCGCGCCCCCACTGAGTGCTTGTAAACGTGGTGTTCCCCTCTTCGGCCAAAGCTGCCACACCGGCTCCAAGAAGGTGGTAGAGCAGCGCACCTTCCCCCCAAACCCCCGCGGCTTGCCTCCCCCCAGTGGCAGATTCCGGAAAGGGCCCGCACACGATGACGTCTCCATCGTACTTCCGATGCCTTCCGCCCATGGACCCGCCGCCGTTTTGCTTCTGCCGGCCGCCGTCGACCCTCCGCGGGAACCTCCGCAGAGGAAGACGTGTCGACCTCACCCTCGATGGCGAGGCCCTTTCTGGAAGGCCACTCGCCACCTTCCCGCCGAGGGCAAACGGGTCCCCGAGGGGAAAAACGGGTCCTGGACCCCAGGGTGGAGGGTTTCTCCGAAGGGCTTAGGCGACCCGTCCTCCTCCTCCTCCTGCTCCTCCTCCTCCTCCTCCTTCTCCTCCTCCCTCCTCCTCCTCCTCCTCCTCCTCCTCCTCCTCCTCCTCGTCCTCCTCGTCCTCCTCCTCCTCCTCCGCCTCCTCCTCCTCCTCATCCTCTCCTCCTCCTCCTCCTTCCTCAATCTCCTCCTCTTCCTCCTCCTCATCTCCCCGTCCCCATCATCTCCTCCTCCTCCTCCTCCTCCTCCTCCTCCTCCTCCCTCCTCCCTCCTCCTCCTCCTCCTCCCCCTCCTCCATCTACAATTACTCAAATATGAATACTACTCTCCTCTTCCCCTGAATGACGGCTGGAAAGTATCCGACCCCCCCCCGCGTATTGTTTTTTTACACAGGTTTCCTCGGAGCTGGGTTTTCCAAAATGCGGCTGTCGCTGAGGCGCTGGCTTCATTTTCGGGCCCCGCTCGTTCCGAATCGTGCTCCCGCTGCAGCGCTGGCATCATTTCCGCCAGCGCCCGGGCTGCACGCCCGAGCCGGCGCCCGGGCCGGCGCTCGGGCTGGGTCCGGAGCCGGTTCCGGCCGGCGCCGGAAAATCGAGTTCCGAGGCGGCGCCGAAAAAGGCCATTCCAATACACATTTTTCTTCTGAGAATGCCAACTTTCTGCTTCCGAGCCCAACGCTGGCCTCATTTCCGCGCTTCCGCTCGTTTCGACTCGTGCTCCCGCTGCAGCGCTGGCGTCATTTCCCGTGCCATGCCACGCATGCAATGCAATGCTAGGTTGATACTACGCTTCGCGGTGCTCTTCTACGCCATGCCACGCCGTGCTCTACAATGCATCACGTACCCTTTCGGGATCATTGCCCTGCTCGGCATCCGACTGTGCGAGTAGAGAGGGGATCTGCGCCATGGTAAGGGATGGGAGGGAGGGGTAGGATGTCAGATATGACGCGAGCGCACCTAGCTTGCCTCCTCCCCCTCCCCCTCCTCCTCCTCTCATACTCCTCCACCTCCTCTTCCTCCTCCTCCTCCCCCTCCTCCTCCTCCTCCTCCTCCTCCTCTTCCTCGGGTCGCCTACTGCGCCGGGGGAAACCATGCACCCCAGGACCTTCCACCAAGACAATCTCTTCATCCTATGACCTTTCTGACCGTCCCGTGGCTTCGGAACGGCCCCCAGAGACTCAAAACAGGGGAACAAAAACCTCAGGACCCAGTTCCCCACAGGACCAGCTCCCCGACATCTTATATCCTTTTTAGAGGGCCGGAAATCCACCCCCAGAATGATCACCCCGACACGCGAAGCCGTTTAGCAAACGCACCCACAGAGGGAATCGAACAGGGCAAGGCGGTTTAATCAACGCCCAGGGCCGTTTAATGAACGCCGATTGTCGGGTCCGGGTTTTTTTTCCTCCCTTGATTGATGTTTTCAATGCAGGGCCTGCGGAAACCCCAAGCCTTTATGCAGGGCCGCATTGTTTTCACACCCCGAGTCGTTACTTGACGGACCCGGGGCCCGGGGAGGGCAACCGGAGGCCGAAACCGACCAAAAACTTGGCGTCTTGATTTTGTTTGCAGGTCGGGTCTGTCTGGGCCCGTCTCCAGTCAATAGCAAGAACATCGTTTTTCGGCACCATCGAGGCACGAGTCGAGAGCGCGCGCGCCCGTGCGTGCGTGTGTCGTCTGGGGACCTCCTCCTCGTCCTTCCCCTGGCTCCTCCCTCCTCTCCTCCACAGCCTCTCCCTCTCCTGCACATTCCTTCTCCTCCTCCTCCTCCTCCTCCTGCCTCGCCTCCTGTGTCGTCCCTGCGTCGTGTCGTTGTCATCGTCGTCGCTGTCGTTGTCTGTCATCGTCGTCGTCGTCGCTGGCGGCTGCCTGCTGTGTTCCTCTCTGCGTGAACCTCCCCCACGTGGGCGCGTGGGTGGCCAACCCAGAATCCGAGAACCCTGGATGCCACGATCTCCTCCTTCGCCTCCTCCTCATCCCCACAGGCTGCTCCTTCTCATCTGCATCCTAGCTTACTCATCCCCATCCTTCTCCTTCCTTCTGATCCC